CCCACGCGGGGCTGCAGTAACCCTTCCGCATGCAGAGCCCATTACCTTTATTGTTACCTGTGGACCAGCAGCCATGGAAAGACTCAAACCCTCAGCCATAAAGGTTAAACTTAAGGTAAAACTCATTTTTTCATAACTTTAAAGCCTCCAAGTTTCCCCAAAATAACAATCTACGGCTCCTAACGCAGATGCGGCAAGCTCTGGCTTACAGGAACACCTTGGGACACACTCGCAAATGTTTAGGATCAATTCTGAGGTTAATTGGGGTTTGAACTCAGCTCTGTCAGGCCTGATGTTGAAAAGAATTCCCAAAAAACCTGGGAATTAAACTATCCTTTACAACAAGAACTAACTTCAGTTTGGAAAACTTTACATGGAAATTAGGCCTGAGCATGCAACTTCGGGAAGGCAGCAAAGCTTACACCCAGCTGTAAGGACGGCCACTTTTCGGTTCTTGAATTATTAAAAAATAAAAAAGAACCCCAAGGATGCATGGACTGAAATCATAAACTAAAGAAAATATATTCATCTTATGTCTACTCAACAATGTATTTACTCGCTTAAAGAAATGGGGAGCAAAGAAAATCTTATTTTGCTAATACAATTTCAGCCGCAGTGTATCAGATGAAAACATGTCTGGAACAGAAATTAACGTATCCTATCTTCACATAAATAACCTGCCAAACTGTGGCATGGTAACAGCTTCTAAATATCACAGCAAAAATAATAAAAATTAGTCGAAAACAAACAAAAAAGGATTCACTGACTCAAATTACAAAATCAGAGGAAGAGAATTAAATTTCTAGTCTTTTAAACATAATTTTATTGGTCCTTCTCAGATCCTACTTTGCTGTAACTCTTTTATTATGCAAAAACGAATTCTACCTCGCACCCTCTGCACCACATCTATTATTTTGATGCCTGTTCCTCCAATATATGAGCACATATCCTAAAGGCAGCAATATTCTTAGCTCTCCTCTTTCAAAACCATGCATGGTTTGAAAGTACCTGTGAAGAAGTCCCGAAATAAAATAGTATTTCTCGGTAATTTTTTCCCTAAGGCATTATTTTTGTATTGGCTACAGGGTATAGCGAATATATTTGAGAATTTGGAAAGTTAAGTCTAGTCGTTACTGGTCAATGCCCTGAACAACTCTACCACCTTCAGCTATGCTTTATATTGGATTCCAGTTTATGATTCTTTCTTTGTAAAGAATATATTTTAAGTAATTGTTCAATTAAAAAAAAAAGCTGCTGTCTATCCACATTTTTGTTAGAGCAACTCCACAACTGCACACATTAAAATAAAATCTATTGCAACATAAATAGAGGTGTTGCTTTATTATATATGTGCGTATATATGTGTTATATTATCAGCCAAGAAGGGCCATCTAAAACGCCACAGTTGCAAACATTTAAGACTGTAACAAAAATGACTGAGACTCTAGTATCGGTTTACTACCCCTCAACAATTTCCCTGACAGTGGAGTCAAATAATGTTGAATTATGGACCTTCTTGCAGGAAGTCTTATTTCATGTTCATTTTTTGATCATTTCCCTCATAGTTCCTATCGGAATTTGGCTCTTTGCCGATTTGCCTTTAAAAGTTTCTGTATCTGTAACTGGCTTGTGCATTATTAAACTGTAATTTTTGTCAAGCAATGCTACTGTGGTCGGGCTCAACAAGTTTATTTTCAGTAAGAAAAATACTGTTTTGTCCCTATAAAATCTATCTTACACAGCTAATGTACTTTATTTGGATGTGGTGGATACTTTGTACCATGTTTTCCCTAAAGGACTTTCTAAAGGCTTTCTTGTAGACACGCTTTTGTAGGAGGATTTTACAGTCTGGACTAGAGCACCTGGGTGCCAAGGTGATACGGCTTCAAGACAACAGCCCCACGGTAACAGTTCAGGATTACCTACGAAACCGAATTTCTGTTGTCGGACTACAGGCAGTCTTTGGGCTTTTTTTTCAATCAGAGGGAGTTTTCCCAGACACATCGCACAACAGCTGGGTTCTAAATCTTTCTGGGCTCTGACAAACACCGAAAATTTAAACATGTAAATGTTTGAAAAGCTAATGATTAAAAAAGGTTTATTTTGAAAATTACTGCAATTCTTCAGCTAGGTTTTTTTAAGTCCCGTTAAGTTTTTTGACTTCAACTCTCCCCACCAAAAAAGCCCAAACTCCTGCCTTGTACTTGTGGAGCCGTGACAGTAAACACCAACTCTGCAGGTCTCACCCTGGCAGGCAGCGGGGTCGAGCCCGTGGGAGAAGGATGCTATTTTAGTGACCTAGTGCCACTGAGCTGGTTAAATCACTGAACAATGGTTAGTGTTATAGGGCTTTACTTTGCAAAATCTAGCATTAGTGTCATTGCTTTCTATTAACCGGGGGGACTTAAAGGCACTGGCTTTGAGGGGCCTATAGGGAAAGAATAAATAAGGGAAAACCTATAAATTAAAACTAAAAAACACCCTGTTAACTGTAACCTTTACTATCACAATATAAGAAAATGTAATTAAATCCATAATAAAAGCTTTTACATACTTACTCTTTTACTACTCTCCCAAGCAGAGCCGTGGGCAGGCGGGGGGCCCGACGCCCGGAGCCAGCCCCTCGCTCCCACCGCCCGGCCCTGCGCGCCCGCGCATCCCAGGGCCGCACAGCCATAAACGCGCCCTGCGCAGTCACATCCTAATTAGCCGCCCCGGCGACCAGCACTCAACACCTTATTATTGAACCATTAGGGCCCCGATACTGCCGGCCGCGCCGGGGCCGGTCTTGGCACCGCAGCGTACCGGAGGGCGCGGGGAACTGCGCGGCCCCCGGTAAACCACCCTCCACCCCGCGCAACCCCCGCCCGGTCTCCGTGGGTTTGATCCCCCGCCTCATCGCCCGTGGGGGGAGGAGGGTAGAAAAGCGCATTTCTGCACCTTCTCCCTTCCCCGAAGAGAGCAAAGCCCGCTCCCCGCGCAGCTCCGCGGGTGCGGACGGGTGGGCGCGGGGCTGCGCGCCCGCTGCCCGGAGCGCAGCCCGAGCGCCCCGGGGCGCGGCTGGGGCAGCGCTCGCACAAGCCGGGGCTGCCGGGGCCGGCCCGGGCAGCTGGAGAGGGGACGGCGCAATGTCCGCGCTCCGGGCAACAAAAGGTGGGGCGCGGGGTGGTGGAGAAACACGCCGACCCCCGACGTCCCCAAAACTGTAGCTTCATTTCTTTAGCTTTCGCTTTAATAAAATAATGATTCGTTGGGAAAATGGGGTATAAATCTTCATTTTGGAGGCAATTAAAGTGTTGATTTCATTCGTGCCCCTGAGCGATTCTTGTAATTTGCTCAAATAGCTTTATGCATCCAGCACTCCAGAGCTTTTAGAAACCCATTTTCTAGTTAGACTTGTTGGATTACAATTTTTATTCAACAGCAGCGAGCCGAGTTTCCCTCAGCTAGACCCTGGCTGGAGGGTTCCCCTCGCTCTAAGGCGCTGCGCGGGGTCGGCGGGTCCCCGGAGCATCCTCACCAGCCCCGGGTACCTCCCTGCCGCACCACCCTCCACCCACTCTGCCAAGCTTTTCCCCTGCACAACAAAATTGGGTGGGAAAAACAGTCCCTCAAAACAACCTACCTATGTGTACATAAACCCCTTTTAAAAAGTTCATGCCTTCCTTCAAGCCTGCCTCCCCGTCACAAACCGACAGACTTTGGCAGATAGGAGAAAATATTTCAGATACTGCCCACACTGCAATGCAACGCACCTTCATGTTGGTGATCTATAAAATAACTCCCAGCTGACAGTGCCAGTGATAACAGCAAAGCAGCTGAGGAAACTCCTCCCTGCTTGGCTGCGCCTTGCTTGAACAAAAGGAAACCTCCAGAGTCAGAAGCAGATCACTCCTAACACTGTATTTACGCAGCTGATCAAAAAGAAGAAATAACTTGGGGGGTTTAACTAGGGATTTATTTTTTGTGCGTGTGCTTGAGGTCCCCTCTCTCAAAGGCAAAGCGCTGCTACCCCTTGGTTCAGAGCAAACAAACCGACTGTGAAAACCCCATCATTTCACCCAACTCACATAAAAGCCAAATCTCAGTCACTACCACAATCCAAGAGCTTGATTTAGATCTGGGCACCTCCTGCATCAGCCCCAAATGCTCCCATGAAAAGGCAAGGGTCCCAGTCTGTGCCCAGTGGAAGAAGGAGGGAAGGGAGAGGGGACAGCCAGCTCTTCCCACTCAGCTCACCCACATTTCCCACCCCGCTGCAGCCGACATTAAAGGCCTGAACCATCCCAAACAAAACCTGGACAACCGTCACAGCCACGCGAGGCTTTGCTGGCTTGGCTTTGGCTTTGACTATATTTATCTTTTAAAGAGAGGGCTTGAAAACTTGAAAGATCAAGGAAAAGAATTTAAAACCTGAATCCCATTTTATTTTCTCCCTTTTTTTTTTCTATTAAGTAAAATAAAATGGGCGCGTTTGCAGCAGGCAGGCGTGCACAAAGCAATGTTCACTCAAGTCTAAAAGCGTTCGGCCAAGGAGAACTGACAAGATGGACTAATGAACCGTAGAGACGGGAAGAAAATAGCCAGTATTTGCTAGATTTCAAACCCTCTCTGTCTTCTCTGGACCACCTATCTCGGATTTTATTATTATTTTGGTCAACGACTCCAAAGCCCTTCCTTCCCTCAGCTACCAAGAAGCCAGTGATTTACAGATACCATTTCCATTATTGGAAAGGGTAACTAAAATAAAGACAAAAATTAAAAGCGACAAGAAACAGGTCGAGTTTGCAGGCGATGCTTTTACAAGCTCATCTCGCCAGGTCGAATCCGGGAGCAAGCCTTAATGAAGCAATAATAGCCACATTATTCAAAAATTTTCATTTCGATGGAAATTTATCTAAAAGGGACTTAATCATATGCAAATAATAAAAGGAGGCGTAGTGACCCAGCAAGCGATCTGCATACAAATTTTAGCGTGTGCGACGTTGGCAAGATCATACCTGGTCGGTTAGATTTGCTGATCTTGTTATGTCTTCACTGTCCGATTTTGATCCGCCCTCTCTATCGTCTATGACCAAATCGATAGGCATTTTTCCTTTCAAACAGCTAATATACCGGTGGCAGAAATTGTCACATAATTCGTGTACCTACGTTATGATAGAGGTTAAAAAAAAAAAAAAAGGTAAAAGGAAAAAAAAAAAAGAGAAATAAGAGAGAGGGGGAAAAAAGGGAAGAAAATATAATCAGGAATACATAAGTAAAATTGACAAGTGCAACCAGTCTCCCCCCTTCGCCCCTGTGACATCAAAAGTCCTAAATAGGGGAAACACACTGCAATTATCCCCCTGAGACCTCTAGACGCATCCAGAATTAGGAATAACTTTCTTTTCTCGCAAAATAGAGATATCCCAGAAAATTGACAGTGACAAGATGATTCACAGGCTACAACATATTCAACACCCGTGTTAAATTCATCTGCTCCCGGAGCTGTGGCCATTAGAGAGGTGACCTGCATGGGTGATATTTAAGGTAAACTATTTAATTTCATCCAGTTATTTCATCATAAACCCTTTCCAAAGCGGTATGAGGATAGAAAAAAGGATTAAAAAAAAAAAATCTACATGCACTGAGCTGAAATACATTATAGGCATTCATGCCCTGAAATCCCCAGTTGCTCTGATAGACTTGTACCTGAGCTGCCTTTATTAATGGGCAGATTTTAACACATTTCGGTAGAGCGAGAACAACCTGACAGTTATGGTTAGATAAAGTGACTGAGGCTCATGAGAAACTTTTCAACTATTTAAAAACCTCTCAAAATGTTTATTTTTAGGAGACAGGGAATTCTCTTCTAGGCCAGCTATCAATGACACGTAAAAAATCCTCAGGAAACCCAGAGCGCACTTCCAATTTAACGTGAGCTCGGTTGACACTGCCTGCTTAGAAATTAGCATTCTCCCTCCTAAGATTTCTAAAACAGCCAACAAAAAAAACCTGCGCTTAGGCTGCAATCTCTTTCTCCTGCTCAGAGGTGTACAAAATTCACAGGAACAAGAGACAGACAGAACTATCAACTCTGCTTTGTCTCTGCAAAATGTTACAGGACAATCAGCGCCCTGAGCCTGACCTGCAGATGGCTCTTTAAAAAAAAAAAAATTTAAAATTCCCCCTTTCAAAATCTCTTCTTCATCATCACTAAGAAAAAAACAATATCTATTTTTTTTAATCACAATTTCAGGGGCTTGACTGAACTAACCATTTCAAGTCTCATCTGCGGCACCACAGAACTGCAACTATTTATACAAGGCCAGCAAAGTATTACAATGAACACAAGGCCTGGGCGTTTGAGAGCTTGGTTTTAGAGGCTGAAATTGTAATTAAACTGCGAAGAGAAATGGACGCCAAGATTGGTCTTGACACTAATTACCAGAAAGAAAGACATTTATGCAAATTTACCAGAAGCCTGAACTTCAGCAGTACTGAAACGGAGGAGGAAGAAAGGAGGGGGGGGGGAGGGAAGGTAGAGAGAAAGGGAGGGAGGGAGAGAGAGAGACAAAAATTACCTTCTCTAATTCCAACAGATGAAACCTTAATACTTGTATGGCTTGAATCATCTGCAAAGACACAAACAACACAAACATTAATCTCATTCCTGGATTTGGGGATATTTCCCACAGTCGCCCCGGCCGCACTTTGTAGCTTGACTTTTCTCTAGTAGTAAATAAAAAGTTGTTTTGATTTATGGCAATAACACTAAAACTTAATAGCGGTGGCTTTGTGCGCTGTTTAACGAGAAGTGATCTAGAGTTAACAAAAAAAAAAATCCCAATTGCAACGAAGCAACTGAATTATATGGATCATAAACATTTCTTTAAAAAAAAACCAAAAACAACAACCCTCTAAACACCATCACTGGCTCCTCGCTTAGTGAAAGCAGGAGCAGGACTCCTGCAGTGAAGGCAAAATATTTATCCTTAACAGGGGATGGAAAGAAAGAGAGAAACGACCTCATTTTCAGTGAATTTGCCACTGGTGCATCTCCAGCCATTGTAATCCTCTATGTTTCCCATCGAGCTGCTTAAAAGGTGCGTGGAGGGGCTGGTTACAGCGGGGATAAATCCACGCTTCTCTTGCGCAGGCAAGCTCACCATCAAACCCACCAGCTCCTCTTTGGATGGGGTTTTCCTTTCTGTATATCCTTATGGGATTTTTTACTTCCAAGCAATAACCACACCATATTTACTTGTAAATATAAAAATCATCATTGTAACAATTATAATTTTTTTAAATCCACGTGAGAAATTTTCACATCACCAAACCACCTCTTTAGATGACACAGAACTTTTAAAAAAATAATAAATAAATGGGAAGGGAAGGGAGGGTGGGGGTGGGGAGAGGAAGAAGTGTTAACTCTTACCAAGTTATCCAGTTCAGGATTAGAGGAAAAGAGGGGTTTCTCTGCTCGGATCTAAATGTAAGAAAGGGGAGGAAAGGAGGAAAATAATAAAAATTATTTGAAATATGGAAGCAGAAAAAGCAGACGTTATTATTTCTTGCTTCATTACACTGTCGGGTCCATTATGTAACCTTCCGTGCAAAGCCCTGACTGCTGGATTTAGTACATCAGCCAAACACTTGAGCAAGTGAATCAAATACACTGAAAAATACCTATGGAGCTTCCCCGGCAGAGCCTGTCCCGGCTCCCGGGAGCCGCGTAGCGAAACTCCCGGCCGGACACAGACCGCTCCACTTTATCCATTTTTTAAGGGGGGGGTAGTAAATGCCGAGATTTCCTGATTTTTTTTTTTTTTTTCATGTTTTGTTTTGGTTGGGGTTCAGGGGATTTTGTTTTGTTTTATTTTTTTTGCCTCTTTCAGTAAGAGAGGGGGGAGGGGGAAACGCACATCTTTATCTCAACAGAGACTTGTTTTTCTCGATACGATTTTTTTCCCCCTTTTTTATTTTTCTTTTACTGTTTTCAACCCGGTTTTGCTGACCTGTTTGGCGAACACTGCTATGTCTTCATTGAAAGACTCAGAGGAGCAAACATCGCCTCCCGCTACCCCGGGCTCCCTGGGTGTGCATGTAGCTAATTCACATTTCTCAAAAATCAGTGCTAAAAGAGGGAACAGGGGGTGTCTGAAAGAAAATACAATAGTCACACACACAGAGGGGAGGAAAATATCATAACGAAACAACAACAAACAAACAAACAAACAAAAAAACAAACAAAAAAAAAACCCAAACACAACAATAGTTAGTCCCACAGCAGCGTGCATGGGGAAGGGGGCACCCACAGAGGGGGCTCCGGCACCCCCCGCCGCCTCCCGGCCCCTTCCCACAGCCAGCCGGCCGGCAGCCCGGCATCTCCCCGGCCTTTCCGCACTGTCTGGCCGCAGATATTGCTAATGCAACCTTAGGACAAGCCAAGAATAAAACCCAAGCCGGTTCCAGCAGCCATTTTGAATTAACTTTCCTTGTCTTTAGGAAAAAAAAAAAAAAGAAAAAAATTAAAATCCCTGGGCATACACTTCTGTCTCTCATGCTTTTAATTCCCGCTTTCTGTTGGAGGACTTGCTGGGAGTGAAAGGGGGGAAAAAACAAACCCAAACCAACAGAAAAACATTAAAAGAAACAATCCCCATCCAAATGAAAAAAAAAAAATTATATACATGAGAAAAAGCCCTTAAACCCACCCAGCACAGCTCCGACCCACTGGCAGGCGCTGGCCGAGCTGGGCTGACTCCCTATGGCCTGCCCGGCTCTCCGCCCCCCGGGGCTCCGCAGCCGCCGACCCACGGGGGGAACCAGGTGCTCCTGGGCAATCGCAGCTTGGAAAGCCTCCGCGGGAGAAAGGCAGCGTGTGCATCTGCTTCCCTCGCCCGTTTAATAATTTAAATAAATAAATAAGCGTGGACGCACACACACGTATATATATGTATAAACAGGGATTTCTTTTTTTTTCTCCCAGGGCTTCATACTTTTTTTTTTCCTTCTGGGTACCTCACACCACCGACTTTTAACCAACCCTTCAGATTTCTGATAACCCGATAAAGAAACCAAACTCCACGAATTTTATTTTCCACAGCCTTCTCCTCACTGTCCTGAGAGTGATTTTTAAAGGCTCTTAAACTTCCCTTCAAACTCCAGCTGGGCAAACACATTTTAAAAGCATCTGCGCCCAATGTAATAACCCCGTCAGCTCCCATCGCAACGGCCTAGAAACTGCGTAACAAGTTGCCACATTGAGAAACACTCAATGCTGTCGGATAAAAGGTTTAAAAAAATTAAAAGAAAATAAAAAAATAAAAAGATTTGAGAGAAGCAGCTCTTGAGCTTTCTCAGGACAAGGAAAGACGAACAAGGTTGAAAAGTTGGGTGAAGCTCTCCAAACTCTCCCTTGCTCCAAAACTCCGTGCAGAGATTTACCACCCGGCGCAGGTTGTGCCCTGGGAATATTATTTTCCTCCTCCTCCCGCGGTGATGCCTGCCGCCCCTCCAGCAAGCTCCGTTTTTTCCTCGAGCCCACGCTGCTCCCCGTGCCAGGGGGACCCCAACCCTCTCCCCCACCCGCCTCCCAAAACAGTAACGACACAAAATTAGGAACGCGGCGCTCTTCGGCGCGGCGCTCCCCATCCCGCCCTTCCCCTCCCCGCGCTGCCCCCCGCTCCATCCCGCGCAGGTTGCGCGGAGCCCTGCGCGGCACCTACCCGTAGATGGCATCTTTATCTCTCTTGAGGGCGTCATTGACGGAGGCGCCCATGGCGGGGGGCATGGCGTTGGCGTGGGCGGCGTGCGGGTACTGGTGCGAGTGCAGCGGCGGCCCGTGGTTCAGGTGGTGGACGGGCTGCATGGGGCGGGCGCCGTGGGGGTCCCCGTACATGGTGGTCGGGATGCCCACCCCTTCCATGCCGCCGTAGTGGGGCAGCTCGTCGTACTGCGGGGCAGAGAGAGCAGAGAGGCGTCAGGGGGAGGCGGGGGCAGCGCCCCCGGCAGCAGCTCCGCTCCCCTGTCCCACCCCGGCGACGAGCCGCGATCCCCCCCGAGCGCGCCCGGGCTCCGCGGCGCCGGCCCTGGGGAAGGAAAGCCGCCCCGGGCTGGGAGCACAGGGGCTGGGCTGCTCCGGCCCCGAGCCCTCCGAGTCTGGGGCGGAGGAGAAATAACAACAACAGCAACAATCATAGCATTGATAATAAAATAAATAAAAGTGAAAAAAAAAAACCACCCCAAAGTTCCCATCCCCAAAGTTCCCAGCACCACCCCCCCTTCACCCACCCCCACCCCGTGAATGGAAGCGGTTCCCGGTGTCCAAATTTCCCTCCGCTAAACTTTTTCCCGCTGATAAGAAGTCAGGTACCTCACCAGCGAGGATGCAAAAACTTCAGCAGCGGTAAACAAAACCAAACCAAAAACGAGAATGAGCGATTTGCGGATTTCCAGCAATTCCACGCGAACACAACTTTTAAAGCCGAAAAGCTGAAAACGTTCGCCCGGGCTCTCGGGAATGCCTTTTTTTTTTTTTTTTTTTTTTTTTTTTTTTTTTTAAGAAAGGGTTTTCTTTGTTAAAGATTAAGGACCGAAAGCTACTGCGGTTCCCAGGCAGCGGGGGAAACGGCCACTTTTCATCTATTAAAAGCGAAGGTGTGAATAAACGCTTTTAAAGATCCCTGACACTTGCTTGGAACGAAAGAGTAAAAGGCAAGTTGTCAGCAGAGGAACTTTCTTTCCCAACCAGCTCTCGGACGGCGGCAGGCAAATTAGGCAAAAAAATTCTTTCCAGGTCTTTTTTCCTTCCCCAAATCCCTGTTCACCCGACTACAGCTGATTTATTTTTTTTCTCAAAACTTCAATTTAGGAGGTAGTTAGGGAAAAAAAAAAAGAAAAAAAGAGATCGCATCCAAAACAGAAACAACAATACACATGGTAGTGAATGCTGCTAACCTCCAAATTAAAGTCACTTTCCTTCTAAAAGAGTGGGGGGGTATGCCCACTGCACTGCACCTTTTGGGTTATAATATATGTATTAAAAAAGGGGGGGTGAGAAAAAAAGGAGGTAAAAGAAGAAAAAAAAAAAAGTTGTGCTTACTCCCAGCCAGAGCTTATCTTCTGAAAGTGAAGCGGTATATCATCACTAACACAGCAAAATGCTCAGAGACATGCACACATTCAAATATTTCAAGCACTGGTGATTTTAAAAAAGACATTGGTAGAACTAGAGCTACAAAACCAACAAATACAGAGGCTTGGACATATTCACTTACATGCCTGTATGTCATTAATGTATAGAAAGCTTGCCTCTTCCCTGAGAACTCCGGGATGGGGAGTAAAAGAATCAAGAAAATAGCAATAGACACAGGTTTTAAGCCTACTAGTACAACTGATAAACCCTCCCGCTGCAGGACACCCGCTTTGTGCCCCTATTCCAAAAAGGAGAAAAAAAAAAAAAAAAAAAAAAAAAACAAAAACAAAAAAAAAAAAAAAAAAAAAAAAAAAAAAAAAAAAAAAAAAAAAAAAAAAAAAAAAAAAAAAAAAAAAAAAAAAAAAAAA